TGGTAGGGAATATTCTGGAGCCAATTCCAAGTTATCAAGGGAAAAAAAAAGCAGGATCACAGGCATGGCAGAGCTCAGGGGGTTGGAGTGTTTTGGGTGGTTTAAATTCCTGTTTTCCTGCCTCTTCTTGTGTGGATGGAAGAGGGAGGCAATAAATCTGCAGGGATAATGACTGGAGGAGATCTTGGAAGGGTTTTATCCAATTCCTTCCTCAGAGAAGGAAAAATGCAAAAATTTACCTCAAATTGAGCTGTTTTCTGAGGGATTTTAGATCTGAGGGGTTTTAGATCAGCAACAGCACCAGGTGTGAGATTTTTCTTGGTGTAATCAGGAATTTTTCCCTCATGTCAGTGATTTTTCCCTCACAGGAAAAAAAGGACGACAAAATTGTTTAAAAACCTGATTTCTTTCCTCTTCCTCTTGGAGCTGTTTGGTTTCTATGGATGGAAGGGGAATTCAATAAATCCCCAAGGATAACAATTGGGAGCATCCTGCTGATGTGGAATTCCAGTTTCCAGCCTGGAAATGAGGATCCAAAAGCCTCAATCCCAGTTCACTTGGTGCAGTTTCCCAGTTGCTCCAGGCAAAAAAAAAAAAAAAAAAAAAAAAAAAAAAAAAAAAAAAAAAATTAAATTTAAAACAAAAGGGTTGGATTGGTGGGAAACATTTTCCTGTCTCTTCCCCAGGGCCACGATGGGCATCCTGGAATATTGGGGTGTTCATCTGCATCCGCTGTGCCGGGATCCACAGGAACCTGGGGGTTCACATATCCAGGGTCAAATCTGTCAACCTCGACCAGTGGACACAGGAACAGATCCAGGTAAGGGGCTTTTTTGGGTTTGGTTTGGGGTTTTTTGTTTGTTTGGTTTGGTTTGGTTTTTTGTTTGGTTTTTTGTTTGTTTTTTGGGTTTTTTGTGTTGTTTTTTTTTTTGAGTTTGGTTTTGGGTGGTTTTTGGGGGGGGTTTTTTGGTTGTTTTTTTTTTTTAGTGGTTTTTTATTATTTTAAGCTAAGCTAGGATAGCCCAAAAAATGGGAGGAGGAAGAGGAATTCCAGCTGGGATAGGTTGGGAGGGAAAATATCCTCTTTTTTTTTTGTTTTGGTTTGGTTTTGGGGGATTTTTTTTGTTTGTTTTTGGGGTTTTTTTGTGGGGTTTTTGGGTTTTTTTGTTTGTGTGTTTGTTTTGTGACACTTCATAAATTTAAACCTTTAAACCAAGCCAGGATAGCCCAAAAAATGTGAGGAAGAAGAGAAATTCCATCTGAGATAGGTTGGGAGGGAAAATAGCCTCTTTTTTTTTTTGTTTGTTTTGGTTTTGTTTTTTGTTTTTGTTTGTTTGGTTGGTTGGTTTTGGGGGTTTTTTGTGGGGTTTTGGTTTGGTTTGGTGGTTTTTTTTGGTTTTTTTTGTTTCGTTGGTTGGTTTTTGGTGGGGTTTTTTGTTTTTGTTGTTTGGTTTTTTGTTGTTGTTTTTTGTTTGTTTTGTTTGTTTGTGGTTTTTTGTTTTGTTTTGGTTTTTTTTTTGTGGCACTTCATAAATTTAAACCCAGCCAGGATAGCCCAAAAAATGTGAGGAGGAAGAGGAATTCCATCTGGGATAGGTTGGGAGGGAAAATATCCTCATTCCAAGCAGCAGAGGGTAAAGCTCAAGGAACTGCAAATCCCTGTTAAATTATCAATCCCTGATTCCCTGGAGGTGCTTCCCACCTTTCTTTTCCGAGGGATTTGGGATTCCTAATGGATGTTTATCTTGCCTTGGATTAAAAATTGCTTAGGATGGGGTGGGAGGGGATGGGAGCAGCTGCCTCAGCATCCCCTGGAGGATTCTCCCTTCCCTGATTTCCCTTCCCTAGCAGCCTGGGATGCTGTGGGAGAGCTTTAATGTCCAGGAAAAGCGAATTTCCAGGGATTTTTTTTGGGTTTCAGTGCGTGCAGGAGATGGGGAATGGCAAAGCCAATCGTCTCTACGAAGCCTACCTGCCCGAGAACTTCCGGAGGCCCCAGACAGACCAGCATCCCTTTTTGCTTCTTTTTTCCTGGAAAAAACGTGGAGCTTTCCCATCCTGGAGCTGTGTGGTTAAACCTTCCTGAAGGAGCAGGAGTTCCAAGGGGCAAGGATTGGGAATGAAGGAGTTGGGGTGGAGAACTGGGACACCAAAAACAGGAGGCAGCTGCTTCTCCTGAGTTTAGAGCCTGGTTGGGTTTGGCCAGCCTATTGAGGCAATAAAAAACTGGGAAATATTCACTCTGAAAGTCCCGTTTTGGGTGAGCAGAGAGAATTTTGCTTCCATTTTTTGGCTTAAATAGAAAAAAAATGCATTGGAATGGTTAAAAAACCAATGGAATTGGGGTGGAGAACTGGGACACCAAGGTGACCACAGGAGGCAGCTGCTTAGATTTGGCCAGCCTATTGGGGCAATAAAAAACTGGGAAATATTCACTCTGAAAGTGTCATTTTGGGTGAGCAGAGAGAATTTTGCTTCCATTTTTTGGGTTTAAATGGAAAAAAAATGCATTGGAATGGTTAAAAACCCAATGGAATTGAGGTGGAAAACTGGGACACCAAGGTGACCACAGGAAGCAGCTGCTTCTCCTTAGTTCAGAGCCTGATTGGGTTTGGCCAGCCTATTGGGGCAATAAAAAACTGGGAAATATTCACTCTGAAATTATCATTTTGGGTGAGCAGAGAGAACTTTGCTTCCATTTTTTGGGTTTAAATGGAAAAAAAAAATGCACTGGAGTGGATAAAAGCCCACTGGAAAAAAGGGATTTTAAGGGTTAATCTCATTCAGACTTCAGACATTTCAGAGTGAGCCCAAAAGCTGCAGGTTTTGGAAGGAATGGGAGTATTCCAAGGGCTCCCTGGAGACCTGATTGTGGCCTTCCAGGACCTGAAGGAGCTGCAAGAGAGATGGAGAGAGATGATTTACAAGGAGGGTGGATTCCCACGGCCAGAGGCAGGGAGAGGTGGGATTTTGGGAAGGAATTCCTCCCTCGGAGGGTGAGGAGGGGCTGGAATGGATTTCCCAAAAAAGTTACGTTTGCCCCATCCCTGAAAGTGTTTTCCAGGCTGGATGGAGCTTGGAGCAGCCTGGGAGAGTGGAAAGTGCTGCTGCCCATGGGATTTAAGGTCCTTTCCAACCCAAACCAGGCTGGGATTCTCTGATGGGATTTTTAATGCTTCACCTGTAACTCCCACCCTGCAGGAATGCTGAGTAAGCAGGGATATAATGATGTGAACCCAAAAAAACCCCAAAAAACCTACAAAAGCACCTTTCCACCATCATTTTTTTAATTAATCTGGTAGCTGAGGTGCTTTTTGAGGTGCAGGATCCTGTTGTGACCACTGTGATCTGTGCTGGTGCTGAGGGGATGCTTGGGGCAAAAAAAAAAAAAAAAAAAAAACAATGGAGAAAACACAGCAGGAGCCTAAATCCTGATTTAATTCCCTTTTTATAGCATTGAAATAACCTGAAATAACCCAGGGGCAAAAACCGAGTTGGGATCCAGCAGTAAATTATTTTAAGAAAGTTACTGCTGGAAATGCTCTTTAAACAATGATTTAATTTAGTTACAGCCTGTACCTTGTTCCTCCCTGTCAAATAAGGCTTCTATTCTGGAATCCTTTGTCCTTAACCAGCTGCTGTAGAGCTGTGGAGAGTTTTATCCGGGATAAATATGAGAAAAAGAAGTACATGGACAGAAGCATCGACATCAACGCCTTCAGGGTGAGTCTGGAGGCCTCAATTTGTGAATAAAAACTTGAAATATTCCCTGTGTCGGGGGCAATCCCTCCTCCAGGGCTGCTTGCACTTCCATGGAATAAATTCCTGCCCAGCACTGAGGAGATTTGAAGAGGCTGAATGGATTTTGCTCAGAATATTCTGGATTGTTTTGGAACTAAAAAAAAAAAAAAAAAACCAAAAAAAAACCACAGGATCAGAGCCGTGGCAGAGCTCAGGGGGTTGGAGTGTTTTGGGTGGTTTAAATTCCTGTTTTCTTCCCTCTTTTTCATCTCACTGATTGGTTTGTGAGGATGGATATTTCACATTGGAGCAGATCTTGGAAGGGTTTTATCCAATTCCTTCCTCAGAGGAGGAAAAATGCAAAAATTTACCTCAAATTGAGCTGTTTTCTGAGGGATTTTAGATCTAAGGGGTTTAGATCAGTAACAGCACCAGGTGTGAGATTTTTCTTGGAACTTTTTCTCTCATGTCACTTACTTTTTCCCTCACAGAATGAAAAGGACAAGAAAAACTTTAAATGCCTAATTTTTTTCCCTCTTGGAGCTGTTTGGTTCTTTCTATGGATGGAAGAGGGAGGCAATAATGACTAGAGGAGATAATGGAAGGGTTTTATCCAATTCCTTCCTCAGAGCAGGAAAAATACAAAAATTTACCTCAAATTGAGCTGTTTCTGAAGAATTTTAGATCTGAGGGGTTTTAGATCAGTAACAGCACCAAGTGAGAGCTTTTTCTTGGTGTAATCAGGAATTTTTTCCCCCATGTCAGTGATTTTTTCCCTCACAGAAAGAAAAGGACAACAAAATTTTAAATTCCTGATTTTTTCTCTCTTAGAGCTATTTGGTTTTTTCTATGGATGGAAGAGGGAGGCAATAATGACTGGAGGAGATCATGGAAGGGTTTTATCCAATTCCTTCCTCAGAGCAGGAAAAAATACAAAAATTTACCTCAAATTGTGCTGTTTCTGAGGGATTTTAGATCTGAGGTGTTTTAGATCAATAACAGCACCAAGTGAGAGCATTTTTTTTTGTTGTAATCAGGAAATTTTCCCTCATGTCAATGATTTTTTTTTTTTCCCCTCACAGAAAGAAAAGGACGACAAATGGAAAAGGACCAACGAGTCGGAAAGGAAACTGGAACCCATCATCTTTGAGAAGGTGAAAATGGTAAGATCAGGAAGAAAAATGATGGAGCACTTGTGGAGACATCCCTGAGGCAGAGCAGAGGGATTCCAGCCTGCTCTGGGAACATTTTTCTGGCCTCGCTCACAGCCCGGGTGCTTTGAGTCACGGGTGGGAGTTTGTTTTGCTCTGCTCACCAGACACTGAGCAGATGTGCAGGTTGGAATCCAGCTATTCCCTGCTGCTTTTTCCAGCTCCAGCAGCTGCTTCTCCCTGGTTTAGAGCTTGCTTGGATTTGACAATCTATTGGGACAACAAAAAAAAAAAATTCTGAATTCTCTCTGAAATTCTCTCTGAAATTCTCTCTGAAATTCTCTCTGAAATTCTCTCTGAAATTCTCTCTGAAATTCTCTCTGAAATTCTCTCTGAAATTCGCTCTGAAATTCGCTCTGAAATTCTCTCTGAAATTCACTCTGAGATTCTCATTTTGGAAGAGCAAAGAGAATTTTGTTTTTATTTTTGACTTAAACCCACTGCAGGGGGAAAAAAAGGGGTTTTAAGGTTTAATCTCATTCAAACCTGTGACATTTCAGAGTGAGCCCAGAAGCTGCATGAGATTTGTGTTGTTTCTTTTCCCCCAGCCCCAGAAGAAAGATGAAACGCAGCAATCCAGGAAAAGTTCCCCCAAATCTGAGCCAGTCATGGACTTGCTGGGGCTGGGTAAGAGAAACTGGTGCAGAAATGGTGGGAATTTGAGTGCTAATTTTCCCCGTCAGGTGAAGAATTTTAGGAATTCTGTTGGAACACTCAGCTCTGAGCTGCTTGGGAGCAGTTTTCCGTGTCAGCCTGCGGTGTTCCAGGAGCAGCTGGAGCTTTGTGGGACATTCCCAAATCCTGCTCCAGTCCCTTCCCAGCCGCAGAGGGGGTGAGGGAGGTGGGGATCAGGTCCCTGGGTGGGGTGGCAGTGGTGGCACAGGGTGTCCCCAGGCTGGGGACACCCAGGACGTCTCTGTCCCTCCAGACGCTCCGGTGACGACGCCCGTCACCAATGGCCGGCCCAGCAGCCTGGAGAAGGACCTGGACCTCTTTGCATCCGTGGGATCCAGCTCAGACTCCAGGAAGGTGAGCTGGGAATGCTTGGGAAGAGCTTGGAACAGCCTGCTTGTGTCATAGAGCCACGGGGTGATTTGGGATGGGAGGGACATTAAAGAGCAGGGACATCTTGAGCTCTGCCAAGTGCTCCAGCGTCACCTCGGACAATTCCAGGGATGGGGAATCCAGCTGGGAATGCTGTGCACACACCTCAACTGCCCTAAGCCTTGCTTCAACTAAATTTCCTTTAATTAAATACTGAAATCTCCCTGTTCCGTGCTGAAGAATGAGGAATTTCCCTCTTCCATTTCCACATTTGGGAATGCTGTGCACGCACATCAACTGCCCTAAGCCTTGCTTCATCTAAATTTCCTTTCATTAAATCCTGAAATCTCCCTGTTCCATACTAAAGAATGAAGAATTTCCCTCTTCCGTTCCCACATTTGGGAATGCTGTGCACACACTAAACCTTGTTTTATCTAAATTTCCTTTCATTAAACCCTGAAATCTCCCTGTTCCGTGCTGAAGAGCGAGGAATCTCCCTCCCACATCCCCCCAGCCCGTCCCTGTGTGTGGATGGCCATTCCCCATTTTCCCTGCTGCTGGGCTTGGCCCTGATCCCCTCTCCTTGTCCCAGGTCGTCGGCTCCATGCCGACCTCCGGAAGCGCCGGCTCCGTTCCCGAAAATCTGAATCTCTTCCCGGAGCCCGGAGGCAAAGGGGAGGAGGTGGGGAAGAAGCAGCTCTCCAAAGACTCCATCCTGTCCCTGTACGGCTCCCAAACCTCCCAGGTGCCAGCACAAGGTAACCCTGGGGCCTGGAGAGCACCAGGGGGTGTCCTGGGAGCTGGAAACTTCCAGCTGGGAATGTGGGTGGGCCCTGAGAAGCCCAGAATGGGGTGGGTGGGAAGGGAGTGTGAAGCTCATCCCCTTCCAGCCATGGATTTTCCACTATCCCAGGTTGCTCCAAGCCTTTTCCGAGCTGGCCTTGGGCATTTCCAGGGATGGGGCAGCCACAGCTTCTCTGGGAAATCCATTTCAGCCCCTCACAGGGAGGAATTCCCTCCCAATATCCATTCCAACCCTCTGGCACTGGGAATCAAGGAGGAATTCCTTCCCAATATCCAACCCAAATCTGCCCTTTAGCTCTGGGAATCAGGGAGGAATTCCTTCCCAATATCCAACCCAAATCTGCCCTNGGAGGAATTCCTTCCCAATATCCAACCCAAATCTGCCCTTTAGCTCTGGGAATCAGGGAGGAATTCCTTCCCAATATCCAACCCAAATCTGCCCTTTAGCTCTGGGAATCAGGGGGGAATTCTTTCCCCATATCCATCCCAACCCTCTGGCACTGGGAATCAGGAAAGAATTCCTTCCCAGTATCCAACCCAAATCTGCCCTTTAGCTCTGGGAATCAGGAGGAATTCCATCCCAATATCCAACCCAAATCTGCTCTCTGGCCCTCAGAATCAGGGAGGAATTCCTTCCCAATATCCAACCCAAACCCCTGGCACTAGGAATCAAGGAGGAATTCCTTCCCAATATCCAACCCAAATCTGCCCTTTAGCCCTGGAAATCAGGGAGGAATTCCCTCCTAATATCCAACCCAAATCTGCCCTTTAGCCCTGGAAATCCAGGAGGAATTCCCTCCCAATATCCAACCCTACCCTCTGACACTGGGAATTCATCCCTGCACGTCCCTACCCGAATTCCCTCCCCAGCTTCGTGGAGAGCTGCGAGCAGCCCGAGGAGCAGCTCAGCCTGGCCATCCCAACCAGGCTGCAGCTGGAATTTTCCCATCCCAAACCCCCGAGCTGACCCCTCCTCCTTCCCCTCCTTCCCTCCCTGCCTTTCCCAGGAGCGATGTTCATGGCGCCGGCTCAGCTGGGCTACCCCGCCTCTCCCTACCCCGCCTTCCCGGCCGTTCCCCCTTCCAGCAGCATGATGGGGGGCTTGGTGGCCCCATCCGTGGGGATGCTGGCCCAGCCCGGAGCTCCTGGCATGGTGGCACCCGTGGCCATCCCGGCGGGCTACGTGGGCAGCGTGCTGGGCGTTGCCAACGGGGTGCTGGGCGCCCAGCAGCCCGGCTTCGTGGTGCCCCCGGCCCTCTACGGGGTCCAGCCAACGCAGCAGCTGCAGTGGAACCTGGCCCAGGTGAGGGGGAGGCTCCTGGAGGCTTTTCCTGGGTGGTTTTTTTGGGAGTGGAGAGGTGGGAGAATGAAGGGATCTCGTTCCAAACCGGGGGGGGGATTGGGCGCTTGGGGTGGGATGGGTTAAAATGGGATTGGGGTGGGGGGGAGAGGATGAGGATCCTGGGGTTGGTCAGGTTGGGAGGGAATTTTGAGGTTGAGTCCCATCCCAGCCTCGTCTCCCGTGGATGTATCCAGGGGTGGGGGCTCCAAAGTTCCCTGGGGAACTCCAAGGCCTGCGCACCTTTTCCATGGAGAAATTCCTGCTGATATCCAACCTGCAATCCTCCCATTCCTGGGCACTCCAAAATTCCCTGGGTAATTCCAAGGTCTGACCCCCCTTTACATGGAGAAATTCCTGCTGATATCCAACCTGCAATCCTCCCATTTCTGGGGACTCCAAAATTCCTCCCTTTCCATGGAGAAATTCCTGCTGAAATCCTCCCATTCCTGGGGGCTCCAAAATTCCCTGGGGAATTCCAAGGCCTGACCACCCTTTCCATGGAGAAATTCCTGCTGATATCCAACCTGCAATCCTCCCATTCCTGGGGACTCCAAAATTCCTCCCTTTCCATGGAGAAATTCCTCCTGAAATCCTCCCATTCCTGGGGGCTCCAAAATTCCCTGGGGAATTCCAAGGCCTGACCACCCTTTCCATGGAGAAATTCCTGCTGATTTCCTGAGGACACTGAAATCCTCCATTCCTGGGGGCTCCAAAATTCCGTGGGGAACTCCAAGGCCTTTTCCACGGAGAAATTCCTGCTGATATCCAACCTGAAACCCTCCCATTCCCGGGGACTCCAAAATTCCTCCCTTTCCATGGAGAAATTCCCGCTGATTTCCTTTGAGGACCCCGAGCTCCTGCCATGCTGGGGTGCCACCCCCCGCTCCCCTGTGGGGCTGGGCAGTTTTTGGGAGCCTCGGGCCATGTCCAAGCCCATCCCTGACCTTCTCCTGTCCCGTTTGCAGATGACCCAGCAGATGGCTGGGATGAACTTCTATGGAGCCAATGGAATGATGGGCTATGGACAGTCCATGGGAGGAGGAGGAGGAGGAGGAGGAGGAGGAGGAGGAGGAGCAGGCCAGGGCAGCAATGCCTCGCTCAGCTCCCCGCTGTGGAAATGAGCCCTCGCTCGCAGCTGACCATCTCTGCCTTCGTTCTGTTCTCCAAACCTGCTCCATGAGGCATTCAGGGGTTTTTTGCTTTCAGGTTCCAGGGGGCCCAGCCCAACCTGAAGAATGGTTGTTCCCATCTCTGCCTTTTCCGCTGTCGCAGCCCCGGGGCCGGCTCGGTGCCTCGGCCCCGTCCTCAGCACAGTCAATGCACACGGGGAGGAGATCCCTCCCTGCACAAAGCTCCTCCAGAGCTCCTGGGTGGCACCTGATGGGCACCTGGGCACAGGTGGGACTGGGAAACCTGGACTGAATCCCACCCAGAAAGCTGGGATTTCTCACTTCAACTCCAGTGTTAGATTTTTTTTTTGTTTGGGTTTTTTTTTTCTTTTTTCTTTTTTTTTTTTGGGGGGTGGGGGGAACCTCGTTTGGTGCTGAGGAACTGGATTTGAGCCCAGGGGCAAGCAAGCCTTGCTACCTCCTCCCTGGAGCGGAGCTCTCCCTGCTCCCACCCTCCTTGGAACCAAAGTCCTTGGGAAAAGCCCTCTCCCACCCCTCTGAGCAAGCAGGAATCTCGCCCGGAGTGGGGACAAAGCCGATGGAATGTGAAAAACTTGCACTGCAGAGCGAATTTTCTGCCTGGAATCTGATGGAATTTCACTTTTAATCTAACCAGAGTTAATTCTCCTGGGCCCAGAGCCCTGTGCAAGTTTTCTTACGCTTTCAAAAATGACTCTGACATCCTAATTTATACTTTTTTTTTTTCCCTATTTTTTTTTTCTGTTTTGTTTCGTTCTTCTTGTCGCTGTTCCTGTGTAAAATCCTGGTTCCCCCCCCTTTTCCTGGCTCGCTTGGGACATTTTAATCTTAGGCAGATTTCTTTTCTCATCTCCAGTAGAACCCAAAACTGCTTCAAAAGTCAGCAAGAAGTCGGACTTGTGGTCTGCTCTCTCCTGTGGATATGTAAATTCCCAAATAAAATATTGCAGTGGACTCCTCTGGTGCTGGTGGTCACTCCAGGTGTGGGAATTTAGGGAATTCCATCCCAAAAATCAGCCCGAATTCCCTCTGGTTTGGGCTCTGTCCCAAATGCCAGGGAATTCAGGGAATTCCATCCCAAAAATCAGCCCGAATTCCCTCTGGTTTGGGCTCTGTCCCAAATGCCAGGGAGCTGAGGGAGCACAGCCAGGCCTGGAAGAATCCAAAGTGACACTTCTATATACAAAGCCCTCAGCTTTGGGATGGGGGAAGGTGGAGCAGAATTCCTGCAGCTGCTGGGATTCAATTCTTTCATTCCGGCTTTAATTCCATCCCTGCAGCTATTTTAAACTCGGGTTTAACAAAACCTCGTCGAGGCTCGTCCAAAAATGTGAAGGAACAGGGAAAAATCAGAGATTTATGGAATTTTGGGATGGTTTGGGTTTCTCATTGCACCCCCTGCTCCTTTCCCAATCCCAGATTTCTCCAGCCTGGCTTTGGGCACTTCCAGGGGTGGAGCAGCCGCAGCTTCCCTGGGAATTCCATCCCAGCCCCTCCTCATCCTCTCAGGGAGGAATTTCATCCCAAAATCTCGCCCATTCCCCCCCTTTTCCTGCCCCTCCCCAATTTTCTTGGGAAGCTGGAGGGAATTTGGGAATCGGGGAAGTCTGGGGGTTCTTGTGGGATCTTTTATTCATGATGGGATTTCTTTCCTCAAATCAAACCTGCTTTTTCCAGGGGAAAAAAAAAAAAAAAAGCTGTTTTATCCCATTCCCTTCTTTCCCAGAGTATCCATGAGAATTGTGGGATGATTTTTTTTTGGTGGGGGAGGAAAAAACTCAAGACAAGCAGAAAGTTTTCAAGCTGGCTTTAATCATCTCCACTTGCTGCCCCAATACTGTACATGCAAAGCCAATTAAAAGGTGAATAATTCAGCTTTTCCTCCCTTTTTTTTTTTCTTTTTTTTTTTTTCCTTTTTTTCTTTTTCGGGAAGGAAAATGTCAGGAATATTTTACAAAACAACGTGCGCCCTCAGAGCCGTCGGTCCCGCAGATAGAAACCACAAAAATACAAGAGTTTGACATTTAAGAAAGGACCACACACATAGAAAACGGGACAGGACACAGGTAGAAAATTCCATTTGCTCGTTTGTTGTTTGTTTTTTTTTTTTAAATATTCCCACTTTTCTGTAGCTGTCCCAAACCCATCCCCTTCTCTTGGGCTCCAGGGATGCTCCAGTTCCCCCCTTGCCGGTGATTTTTGGGGAGGGTGGAGTTGTGGGATGGGAGGAATCTGTCATTAAACCCAATTTAGCACAAATTGGAGGGGATGGAGTCACTGCTCCCATCCCAGCTCCCAGAAACCCTAAAATATCCAAGGAAACTTCCCTGGCTCTCCCTTCCCCCTCAGCTGTCACCTTCTCATTTACTGCCAATTAACTCGGGGTTAATTAAGCTCTGACACTTCCCCCCATCTCCTGGTGATCCCTTGCCATGCAAATTTTGGGGGATTTGAGGCTGGGAAATGCGGAGGATTTGGGGGTCTTGGTGGGGTTTTGCACTCTCAGCCCCATCCCTCCTTTCAGCCCCAGCTTCCAAAGGTTTGGAATTCCTGGCAGAGCTCTGGGAGCATCTCCTTGCCTTTAATCCCTCACCATCATTCCCACCCTTTTATTCCCTTTTATTTCATTTTCAACGGACCCAAAGCAGTCTGGAATTCCACAATTCCCTTTCGTTCCCCCTCAGACTTTTTTAGGGGGAAGCTGGGTTGAAAGATTCCTTATTATGGATAAAATCCCTCCATTTGGAATGGAAATCCAGAATTTCTTGGATGGGATAAACATTCCCAAACTCCACTCCTAAAAATCCATCGGGGCTTTTCCCCCTGATTTCCCAAATTCCAGGAGAAATTCTCAACTTTGTTTTGCCTTTTAGGTGTAAACTTGAGGGATTAATGACAGATTCCAGAGCCCTGGATCTTCCTGAACATTCCAGGGATGAATTCCGAGCTGGGGAGGAGGAGGATGGGATGGGGAAGATTCTCTCCTTGCACGAAAAAGATCAAAGCCCTTTAAGAAAACAAGGCCACCAACTTCACAAAGTGCTCTGAACATTCAGGGAGCTCCCCCTCGGGATTGGGAATTCCTCTGGGATATTCCCTGCGATGGGAGAAAATTTTGGAGAGGGATTTGTGTCCCTCCAGGGACTTTGGAAAGGGATTTGTGCCCTTCCAAAGGCTTTGGAGAGGGATTTGTGCCCTTCCAAGGGCTTTGGAAAAGGAATTTTTTTCCCCTCCAAGGGCTTTGGAAAAGGATTTTTGCTCTTCCAAGGGCTTTGGAAAAGGATTTGTGCCCTTCCAAAGGCTTTGGAAGAGAATTTTTGCCCTTCCAAGGGCTTTGGAAAAGGATTTTTTTTCTCCCCTCCAAGGGCTTTGGAAAGAGATTTTTGCCCTTCCAAAAGCTTTGGAAAGGAATTTGTGCCCTTCCAAAGGCTTTGGAAAGGGATCTGTGCCCTTCCAATCACTTTGGAAAGGGATTTGTGCCCTTCCAAAGGCTTTGGAAAGGGA